CTTTGACCTCTGCGGGCACTGCACGACATGAGTGCACTTACACACATGCAGGCAATACACTCATACACATAAAATAAAAAATAAAATTAAAAAAAAATCTGCCACCATAGTTGGGAAAATACGGATGGTATTTTAATGACCCTTTTTTTGAAAAAATAATTTATTATTTTTATTTTCTATGTGTATGCATTTATTGCCTGCATGTAGGTAAGTGCACCCATGTCATGCAATGCCCACGGAGGACAGAAGAGGCTCTTGAATCCCCTGGAACTGGAGTTACGGATGGTTATTAGCTGCCATGTGGGTGCTGGTATTCGAACCCAGGTCTTCTGTAAGAATAGTCAGTGTTCTTAACCACTGAGCCATCTCTCTAGCCCCAATGACCTTTTTTTTTTGAAAAAAAAATATTGTTTTTATGTATGTGTGTGTATTGCCTGCATGTAGGTAAGTGCACCCATGTCCTGCAGTGCCTGCGGAGGACAGAAGAGGCTGTTGGATCCCCTGGAACTGGAGTTATAGACAGTCGTTAGCTGCCATGTGGGTGCTGGGGTTCGAACCTGGGTCTTCTGCAAGAATAACCAGTGTTCTTAACCTCAGCCATTTCTCCAGCCCCTTTAATGACCTTTTTAAGTAATTGGGGATATACTTTTTAAAAAATACCACAACTTACTAAATGGAGTTCCTTAAAGGTTAGCTGGAATGTGGAATCTGAAATATTAGTGAACTTTCCGCATTTTCAATATGAAGCCCACTGTTGTGTTTTGTACTTGGAATGGATCCTTCCCTTATTCATGATTTTGATCAAATTAATCCCCCATGCTCCTCTTATCTCCCTCTGACTCCTCTCAAACCCTTTTTCTCACACATTCCTTTCCTATTTTTATGTTTCTTTTTTTAATAACTCACTGAGTTTAACTAGAGTTGCTTGCATGTGCATGGAGTTATTTATTAGATCACAGGCAACTGGCCAGTGACTCTGGCCCTGAGGAAAAATGACTCCTCCCCCAGAAGTCATTAACTACTACTGGCTGGCTCCATCTGGGGGCCTCATGTGTTCCTCCCCATCCATGCTGGAATGTTGATGAGCTTGATCTTATGCAGGTCTTGTACAGGTAACCACAGCTGCTGAGTTCATTATTGTAGTGACCATGTCTTGACCAGAAGATGGTATTTCCCAGAAATCCTCTCTATCCTCTACTCTTACATTCTTTCTACCCCCATTTCTGTGATGTTTCCTGAGCCTTGGAATGGGCATGGTGGTGATATAGGATTTTAGGACTGAGCACTTATTATTTTCAGCATTGTGACAGGAGTATCTGCGTTAATGGTTGCTCACTGCAAAAAGACCCTTCACTGACCAAGGTTGAAAGCAGCACTAATTTGTGGGTATAAACATAAATATTTAGAGGACAGTTTCAAAACATGTCCATTTAGCAAAACAAGACTGATAAGTTTCTCCTCCTAGTGCCTATGATGTCACCAGTTGTAAGCTTTTGACCAGGTTTATAGTAGCAGGCATGAATTCCCTCCTGTGGAACAAGCCTCAAATCCAATCTGAAAAGTAGTTGATTACCATTATAACTTTCATATCACTATTGTACTACTAGGCACATTTTGCCTGGGAGGTCAGTATTGTAGCATGTAGGAGGGTATATTTGTGGGTAAGACCATTGACGATTTTTTTTCTCCCAGAGGCCTGCATAGTACCTTCTGGCACTCTGAAAGCTAACCAGCAGGGAGGAAGTTTCCAGGTCAGTCCCAGCTTGGTATCTCTATGTCCTGCACACAAAGTTTGTGATTTCTTAATCAGTACAGTACCAGCTAGTTCTGGTGGGCAACCAAGAGCAATGGGAATAACCCGTATTGTTTTGGGGGCCTGTGGCACCTCCCTGACCACAACTCACAGAGAGGTATTCTATAAGCCTGGCCCTGGTAGATTTTCTTGTAATAACCTGTTGTTTCTGAGGGCAGCAGTATCCATCCATGCAAAGCATTTTCTTTCATGAAATGCCTTTCTTTTTTTCTTTCTTGAGACAGGGTCTCCCTGTAGCCCCAGCTGACCTGGAACTCACTGTGTAGACCAGGCTAGCCTTGAACTCACAGAGATATGCCTGCCTCTGCCTCCCAAGTGCTGGGATAAAGGTGTGTACCACCACACCTGGCTCAAATTTTTTAAAAATTTATTTATTTTTATATTATGTGTAATGAATATTTTGCCTTTGTATATGTGGATGCAACATGTGCGTACAATGCACACGGAGGCCATAAGAAAGCATTGGATCCCTTGGAATTGGAGTTACAGACTGTTGTTAGCTCCTATGCTGAGGACTGAACTTGGGTTTTCTGCAAGAGCAACCAGTGCTCTTAGCTGCTGAGCATCTCCCCAGCCCTCAAATTATTTTCTAAAAATGGTTTGACAGCTTTTTTTTTTGAGAGAGAGAGAGAGAGAGAGAGAGAGACAGACAGACAGACAGACAGACACACTCATGTAGCCCAGGCTGGCCTTCAACTTTTATTTTTCTCTTTTGAGACAAGGTCTTAACTGTATAGCTCTGGCTGCCTTGGAACTTGCTATGTACTAGGCTGTCCTTGAACTCACTGAGATCCATCTGTCTCTTCCTCCAGCTGGCCTCCAACTCAATATGTAGCTGAGAATGAACTTGAACTCATGATCCTCCTGCCATCTCCTAAATGCTGGGATCACAGGTGTGTGCCATGGCACTTCATGTCTGTGATAGAATCCAAGGCTTTGTATGTGCCAAGCAAGCACTCTTCGAGCTGAGCTACATCCCCAGTCCTAATTTGGATCTTTAAAAAGAAACATCCTGGGGCTGGAGAGATGGCTCAGCAGTGATGAGGGCATACTATTCTTGCAGAGGACCTGAGTTCAGTTCTTAGAACCTATATCAGGTGACTCAGCTTCAGGGCATCTGACTCCTTTGGCCTCCAAGGGCACCTGCACTTAAATTTATATATCCCCACACATATACATAATTAAAAATAATAAAAATAAATCTTAAGAAAACACCCACTGTGCAGTTTGTAATTTGCCGTATTGGTGTTCAACCATGCCATGCAAGCTCTCTACTATTAATTATATTACCAGCTCTTTTGTATGCTTTTTATTTTAGCTTTTCAAAAGAAAAACCATTTTGAATATCCACTTAGTATTAATTTTTTGGAGGATGGGAAGGCATACAAGGTTGGCCTGAGACTCACTATGGAGCCAAGGATGACATTGAACTTCTGATATTCCTGCTTCCATTCCCTCATGGTTGGGATTATAGGTGTGTGCCACCATGCCCAAATTTATTCATTGCTGGGGATTGAACCCAAGTCTTCATACATGCTAGGCCAGCACTGCCAATTAAGCTACGTCTCCAACGTCAATATTAGAGTCTTACAGGAGTTTTTGTAGTGTTGGTGATTTGTTTTTTCTTCTTTTGCTTTTATTACATAACATTGGAGGGGGCTGGAGAGATGGCTCACAACCACCTGTATGTAACTGTAGCTCTCGGGGGATCTGATGCCTTTGCCCTTCTTCCCCACATACACATATTTAAAAATAAAATAAATTTTAAAAAATTGAGTAGGAACACTATGATATGAAGGAAGATAGACTGAAGAATTTAGAGAAAAATGGTGATATCTCCAGAATTTGGTTTGAAAAATAATGTCCTTTTCTTTTAATCATTAATTGAAGGCTTTTGAAACTTGGTATAATATGGTCAAGAACTAATCCTATCTTCATAGGACATACAAATAACAATTATTTTGGATTGCTACAGGATGAAAGTGTGGAGAATGGGCTAGAGAGAGAGCTCAGTGGTCAAGAGTGTATGCTGTTCTTGAAGAGGACCCGAGTTCAGTTCCCAGCACCTACGTCAAGTGACTCAGAACCAGACTGCCTGTGATTCCAATTCCAGGGGGATCTGATGCCTCTGGCCTCTGTGGGCATCTGCACCCAAGTGACACACATACATATATACACACATACATCATTTATAAAAAAGTACAGAGATGACAAGCAAATGGTTTGAGATGTGGTATTGGAGCAGAGGTGTGGATAATATGGGAGAAAACAAAATCACAGAACTGATAGGTAATACCTACAAGTGATAGTTTTTGTGAATATCAAAAATGGGCTATGAATGGCTACAATAGTTTTACATTCTAAGTTTGTGAGTGCAAGTATATCTTTTTGTGGATTTTGTTAATTTGGCCATATAACTTCTAAACATATTTCCATGGACATATGGATTAAAAACCCTTGGGACCTGAAAATTTACTAGTCTTCTCACAGTTGTTAGACATTACCCTTTGTGAGCCAAAAACTAGAATTTTTTAAAAAAGATTTATTTTTATTTATGTGTGGGTGTTTACAGATAGTTGTGAGCTGCCTGATGTGTCTGCTGGGAACTGAGCTTGGATCTTCTGAAGAGCCAGAAGAATTCTGCACTTTAGAGTTTAGTTTTAGATTCTTTTTTTTTTTTTTTTTCAGTTGTGTGTGGTACGGTGGAAGGGTGTGTATGTGGCAGTCAGAGAACAACCTGCAAGAGTCAGTTCTCTCCTTCCACCATGTGGAAGGGATTGAACTCAGGTCATTAGACCTGGCAGCAAGAGTCTTTACCTACCATCTCATTGGCCCTCATTCTCCCACTTTATTATCAGCTTTAGTTAACCACTTGTCATTAGTCATCAAGGACATGGCATGCACTTCTCTGTCATCTAAATGGCATAGTTCTACATCTTAAAAGGGGGCGTGGTACTATTTCTGGGACTGCAGAAAGCTACAGTGAAGGGCACACTGTGAAGCTCCATGCTCAGGCTTTTCTGTGATATTAAGCTGGATATCATCTGTCCTTAAGAGTCTTGGACAAGGATGGGGAAAATTGCATTTTCTAGTTGCAGAGAAGCTTCAGTGTTAGATTCTTGATGACTGTTGTGTAGTCTTCTAAAAAGTGTGTGTGTGTGTGTGTGTGTGTGTGTGTGTGTGTGTGTGTGTGTGTGTGTTAAGGTGTGTATGCCACAGCACATATGTGGAGGTCAGAGGGCAACTTTTGGGAGTTGGTTCTCTCCTTCCTCTGCATGTTCTGGGGATTGAGCCTTTCTTACACTAGGGTTATAAATGGGCCCATCTTGTTTTACATAAATACTGGGCATCATCCTCGGGCAGGCACTTCACCAACTGAGCCATGTCTCCAGTTTTCTCCTATTGGTTTTAAAATAGTAAACTCAAAGCTATATTTTATAGGCGGTCTATTTGTTTTTCTCCAAATACCTTATTTGAGGCAGGTAAGCTACTTTGTGTGTTCTCTTTTTTTCCAGGCAGATGAAATAGAGACATATTTGGAAAATCTCAAGGAAAAAAAAGGCTTGTCTGGGAAATACCAGACATCATCAAAATTGTTTCAGAACTGTAGTGAACTCTATAAAGCACAGGTAATCTTTGAAAGTGGTTGGAAGGAAATAAGAGGTGAAAAATGTAATGTCTGTATTTTTTCATATGTCTTTTTTATTTTTATTTTTTTGGTCTCTCTGTAACTCCAGCTGACCTGGAACCCACTATGTAGACCAGACTGGCCTCAAGCTCACAGAGATCCACCTGCCTCTGCTGGGATTAAAGGCATGTGCCACTACATCTGGCCCTATGTCCTTTTTCTTTATATGCCAATTATTTCTTCCAGGAGAAAAATATTGTTAACTTGTTCTCATAGGTACGTAGTTGACCTCTTAGTAATCTTACTAAAGAGAGAATGCGCTTTCTTTGTGTGCAAATAGCAAATTCCTGTAAAATATACGCTATCTTTTTAACTATTTCTAAGTATATGAAAGAGTAGCTTTAAGTTCCTTCACATTGCTGGGCAGCACAGTCCATTGCCAGACTTTTCATCATGCTAAACTGAAGTTCCATTACCCATTAACCAGTCATTCCATCCATTCCTAGTCCCCAGTATCTACTGTACTACTTTTGTCTCTATGAATTGACAATTTTTGATGCTTTATTGAAGTAGAGGCGTTTCATTTTTGTTCTTTTTGCATAGACTCTTGAGTTTCCATGTTTTCAGGAATCATCTATGTTGTAGCATGTACCCTTTTAAGGCTGAATTCTGTTAGATATGTACATCACATTTTATGTATCCATTCATCTCTTGATGGACATTTAACACCTCAGATTTTTTATCTTTTTTATTTCATTTCATTTCATCTTTTTAAGACAGGGTCTCCCTGTTGCCCCAGCTGACCTGGAACTTGCTATGTTCGAGGGTGGCCTCAAACTCACAGAGATCTGCCTGCCTCTGCTGGGACTAAAGGTGTGGCCACCGCACCTCCTGGTCCCTAACACCAGTTTTTGCTAGAAAAATTTTGGAGGTGTTGAAAGTAGTTATTGTAGCCCAGTGTGGTGGCACACACCTTTAATTCCAACAGTTGGGAGGTAGACGGAGGCAGATCTCTGTGAGATTGGGGCCAGCCTGGTTTACATAGTGAGTTCTCAGCCAGCTGGGGCTACAGGGAAATTCTGACTCACTTGCTTTGAGAGTGCTGGAGAGATGGTTCAGCAGTTAAGAGCACAAGCTGATCTTGCAGACAACCTGGGTTTAGTTACCAGCACCCACATGGTAGCTAACAACTGTCCATAACTCCAGTTCCAGGGGATCTGATGCCAACTTCTGACCTCGATGGGCATTGCATGCACATGGTATACTGCATACATACTCATTCACAAAAATAAAACTACTCATTCACATAAAATAAAAATAAATTGGGATGGAGAGATGGCTCAATGATTAACAGTGCTGACTGCTCTTGCAGAGGACCTGGGTTCACTTCCCAGCACCCATATGGTGTCTAACAGCTATCCATAACTCTGGTTCCAAGGGCTCTGATGACTCTTCCTCTGTGAGCATTGCATGCACATGGTGCACATACATACATACATGCAGACAAAATATACATTCCCACAAAAATTAAATTTGGGGCTGGAGAGATGGCTTAGCAGTTAAGAGCACTGGCTTTTGCAGAAGACCCATATTATGACTGACAACTCCAGTTCTAGGGGATCTGATGTCCTCTTCTGGCCTCTGCAGGCATTACACACACATGTTGAGCTTACATGCATACAGGCAATACATTTATATATAGGGAATAAAAATAATAATAAAAAGAAAATCTGGGGCTGGAGAGATGGCTCAGTGGTTAAGAACACTGACTGTTCTTACAGAAGACCTGGGTTCAAATCCCAGCACCCACATGGCAGCTAACAACTGTCCATAACTCCAGTTCCAGGGGATCCAACAG